TGTATGTATATGTCTGTCTGTCTGTCTGTCTGTCTATCTATCTATCTATCTATCTATCTATCTATCTATCTAACTACTACCCGTCCATCCATCCATCTATCTGTACGTTGTATAAAAGTACATGTGTATTTATATGTATTTCTTAAAGGCATATGACTACAATAACTAAACCCCACCGATGACCTGCAATCCTTGTCTCGCTCTCAAATGCACCCAAGCAGCTCAACTCTTGGTCCTGCACGTGGCTAAGGTAGGGGCCTAAACAAGTATCAAGTACCAATACTGTATTGGGGGGCTCCTGATTATAACCATAACATAATGGGCCCCAAAACCCTATTCAAATCATCAAGGCCCGTATATTGGTTTTCTAAATTTTGATCTCTTTCAGGGTCCTTTTTATGAAGGTTCCGTACTATACAGGGGACCTAACAAGCAACCCCAATTTGGAGAACTACTCACATGACGTGTAGGCCTTAATGATGGGATTCAAGGGGATTCTCGGATGAAGGGTTTGGGGGCTACGGCTGCAGAGTCTTCGGGATCAGGGTGTGCCGCCGCCGCACGAGCCCTGGACTGTGCACGCCATGCTCAACCAGCCCTTGAAACCTGGAAACCTGCGAAACCCTAAGAGCAAAGGATTTAACCTTCACATCTTGCATCCCAAAGTTGTCTCCACATTGCCAAATATCCCCAAAGCCAAAAAGCACAAGCACCCTAAAGACCCCACGCCAGCAAACAGTCCTCTGCCGTGACCTGGTGTTCTGGTAGTCCTTCTTCGGTGGTCTGTCGGTTTAGGAACTGGGCCTCGGTCTGCGACATTTACGCCGTAGGGCTTGAGGGCGTGAGGTCTTCCGGTTTTAACAAGCCCTAACACCTAAACCCTATACCATAAATCCTAAACCCTAAACCCTAAACCCTAAACCCTAAACCCTAAAACCCTAAACCCTAAACCCTAAACCCTACATCCTAAACCCTAAATCCTAAACCCTGAGGGTTTCAGGGACTGCCGTCAGTGACCAGGCACGGAGAGCCTAAGTACCTCAACCTGGCAGGACCCCGGCGCACATGACATATAGGTCTGAGTAATATAGGGGCCTTTTTTTATCAGAATAGGGTCTTGGGGTATTATTATACTCTAAAAGGAGCCCCCCTCCCCCCCCAAAAAAATAGTAGAGGTAATTATTAAGGCCCCTACATAAATCAGTAGCAGAATCCACATGTTGGCACGATTGTCCACTCGGGAATCGGGGATGAGTCGTATCCTCCCACTGTAAGCTCACTATGATTCTATACGGCATGACGGATTTCGGAGGCACTGAAACTTTGTGGCAGGCTTGAGCTTTGGTAAGATAATCTGGCTCCCAGAAGCTGCAACAGAATTCGTTATTTCTGCCCTTGGAGTTTATCTTTTCTGCAAAAACAACTGAAGGCTTCGGCAGCGTAAGGTTGAACATCTAGATTCGAAGACCACTCTATTAAGGCGTCTACAACCTTTCGAAGATACTTCCACCATCTCAAACATTACGACACTAGGCTTTGACTTGCACTCAAACCCCAATGAGACACCGTGCTACCCAAAGGCTTCCTACCTTCACGTCTGGCTACATCCTAACGGGATGCAGGGGTTTAGGTTTAGGGTGCAGGGTAGATTAACCACAGCCTTTGCCTGACCCACTTGCAGACCATCGGCTTTGTGGGTCTTCAGGTGGAAGTAAATGAAACAAACGTAGAGAAAGATCAAGATGATGGCGCACACGCGGGAGAGCAACATGACCTAGCACGACGAATCCAGGAAGCTACCGGTAGCAGTGGGAACTGGGCTGGCGTGGCATTGGGTGCGAGCCTGGAAAAGCAAGCTACCCTAAACCCTAGAACGAACCCTACACTGGAGCAGGCTATGGCCTTGGAGAAAAACTGTCGCTTCAACTATTTTGAACACAAAGTGTCACTGCGGGGGTTCTGCTTGGAGCTCGGAATCACCGACTGAGGACAACCCATGAGACTCCACAGTAGATCATAGGGGGGTCTTTCAAAGGATTCTCGGCATAATAAGGGGCCTTAATAATTAGAACAGGGATTTGGGGCTCCTTATACTATAAATAAGAAACCCCCAAAACTTAATGGTAATTCTTCAGGCTCCTATACTAATTCTTAGGGTATCTTGGAGTCGTTGGGTAGATAGTCATGCAAACAAACTGTCTTCAACTTTGCCTCAGGCCCTAAACCCTAAACCCTAAACCCAAAGCCACGCAAGGGCCGCCGAAACGCGAAGCCCGAAGACCCATACCCATCCCTGGAGAGCCCCCAAACCCTGAATCCATAAATACCTGAGCCGCGTAAACCCTAAGCCTTCGGACGGGAAAGGGGGAGGGTTTAGGGTTTGAGTTAGGGTTTAGGGTTTTGGGGGGGTTCAGGAGATCGTAAACCCTCAACCCTAAACACCGGATTGAAGGCTTTGATCCACTGCTCTCTTCCATCGACGACGGCTAGACTCCGTCAGCAGGATTAAGTTTTTGGGGTATATTGCAAGTTGCACATAAACATTTCGCAAATTAACAGTTATCCCTAAGCCCTGATAGAAGCCTTGAAGGCCTCATTAAAAAAAAAACAAGGAAGCTCCTGCAAAACCCATGTATGACTCCAAATGTTCCGACCTCATGTTACTTCTTCCGAACCCCATATAGCTCCCTTTAAAGTTGAACCCTTTTTGATCCTATAGGAGCCCTTCTAGATCCCTTTAAAGGAGCCTTTCTAGAGTCCGATAAAACCTTGAAGTGAAACCTTATACAAGTGTCTATAGACACCACTTGTCGAACCCTAAAGCAATATTGAAACCCAAGGGTTGAGTGTTTTAGGGTTTAGGGCTTAGGGTTTAGGGTCTTTCCAAAGATCATGTCTTGAGCGCCTGATGGGATGTGACGCCAGGAATTGCACCGAACATCGTCGGCAAAGTGATGCTGATGGCACAGACAATCTGTCGATCAGGTTGCAGGGTTTAGAGCTTTTGGGGGTCTATATAATTTTTTTATCACTCCCTGCTATTGCCATGTTGTCGGCTTCGCTGCAACTGTAAGGACCGCACATCATGTGCTTCGGGCCCCGTCGCCCAAACTCCTAAACTCATATCCCCGAATGGAATTGTCACCTTTTTGCATCCAGCCTGCATTGCTTGCATGAAACCGTCACCTGAAATCGCAAACTCAGAGCCGTGACCCGATCAAGGATCTAAGTTTGATGCTGATGTCTGGGATTCAGGGATTCGGGTTGAGGTCGGTATGTCAGAACCTCCATGGTGAACTTTCATTCCTTCATGCCCCAGGCTTGGGGCACAAGGGCTTGGGGGAAAGCCTTCCCTAGCCAGGTGTGCTGAAACCAAAGACTCTCCGAAATGCTTGGGCGGACCTTCCCACGGTTTAGGGTTTAGGGTTTAGGGTTTAGGGCTTTTTCAACAGTATGCACAGGTTCCTCAGGTGTCTTGCACTAGCATGCTGCGGAAGTGCTTTTTTGCCGCCCAACCATACCCCGACCCTGCACACACCCCAAACAAGCCCCGGCGTGCCTGACAAGACATCTGTGCCGCTGCCCCATCAACGTTGAACTTGCAGGTTTTCTTCTTCACGCCTCAAGGAAGGGTGGATGAGGTCTCCAGCTTCAGACGGCGACTGTAGCTGACGCCTAGATCGCCAAGTGTACGAAGAAGTCAGGCACCTGCTCAACTTTCCTCAGCCGTTGCCAGCTCCCCTTGATCCTGACAGCCTTTAATGAGGGACTTGAAGGGACTTGAAGATTCCAACCCGGTTTAAGGTTTAGGATTTAGGGTTTAGGGTTACCATCCCAAGAAAGCCATTGAAGACCCAACAAGCTGCATCAAACCTGCCAGTTCAAGCACGCCTCGTATTATAAGCGTTCCATCAACCCCACATCCCCCCCGCGAGCCTGCAGCGAAGATGGACATTCCCAGGACAAGCAGGAGGCACCTGAGCAGTCAATATTCCACGCGCTTTGCGGTCATGTCTCCGGGCTGATACCCACAACCCCATAGGGTCTATATACACTAACTGCTATTCTGGAGTTAAGCCCCCAAACACCCATCCTTATAATGGCTTTGGGGGGGCCTACTTCCGTACTAGTGGTACATATGAGCCTTCTTCTTGGCACCTCAAACCTTGAGGCGAGGTGCATGAAGTGACTTGGAACTCCGTTAATGTAGGGCCCTAAAGAATTACCTAACTTTTGGTGGGAGCTCCTTATTATTGTTATTATTATGATCATTGTTATTGAAAAATGGGCCCCAAAACCCTAGTCAAATTATTAAGGCCCCTATATTGGGTGTGCTGCCGTGTGGGTCGCAATGATTAGGCCGCGCGGGTTAGCCCTGTGGTGTCAGAGGTTCAAAATGACAGTTGCAGAAGTTCAGTAACCACTTAGATCGTGATGGGACGTCTAGATGTCAGACGTGCCCAGAGACTCCAATGTCCCTTAATTAAGGAATATACCTTAAATTACAGTAGGATCCTTAATATGATTTAAGGTATGTTCCTTAATTAAGGGGTATTGGAGTCTCTGGATATCTACCACCCAACCCCAACCCCAAACCCTAAACCCTAAACCCTAAACCCTGAAACCCTAAACCCTAAACCCAATCGCCCAGGAGCCAGTGCATGGAGCCCATGAGGTTGGCTTGCAGCACGTCGGGAAGTCCGGCACGCAAACACCTTGGCAGAATAGAGAAGAACAGCACCACCCCTAAACCCTAAACCGTAAACCCTAAAACCCTAAACCCTAAAACCCTAATTCCTGAACCCTAAAACCCGAAACCCTAAACCCTAAAACCCTAAAACCCCAAACCCTAAACCTTAGAACCCTAAACCGTTTAAACCCTAAACCCTAAACCCTAAACCCTATACCCTAAACCCTAAACCCTAAACCCTAAACCCAAAACCCTGGCCAGGCTTCTGATCTTGGGCTTGGCCCCAAACGGTGAAACTCAGCTTCTGCTC